AAGTACAGTTTGTACCTGACCTCCTCTTGTGCCCATGAAATGCCTGTTCACCGCTGCATCAAACCCACGGGCACATCAGGCTGTCAGGTGCCAGTCAGGAGCGCTTCCACTTGTTTCAGTGGAGTGAGACCTGTTTACACCAACAGAGCAACCACGGTTTGACGTCCTGCCCCTTGTGTTTAACTGCCTGGCCTTTGCTAAGCTACCACCAGATGTTCTTACACGAAACTCCTCCTGCTGATTTCATGGGGCTGCTGCAGAAGTCTGGAGCACCGAGCCCCACGCGTGCCTTGGTTAGGGTGCCACAATTCAGGAGCCATGTGCTGCTCTGGTGGCCACAGCTACCCTGAGCTTCTGCACAGCAGCAGCAATGATCCCCTGACAGCCCCCCCGAGCTTCTCTTCCAGCTGAAGCCCACTCTCATACCAATGGAGGGCCAGGGCTTCCTGGCTGCCTTCACACTGAAAAGCCAGCGAGCAGCTCCCAGTGCCTAAAGAGGCTGCAGGAAACCTGGAGAGGGGCTTGGGACAAGGGCCTGTAGGGACAGGCCAAGGGGAATGGCTTGAACCTGCCCAAGGGGAGACTGAGATGAGCTCTTAGGCAGAAGCTCTTCCCTGTGAGGGTGCTGAGGCGCTGGCCCAGGGTGCCCAGAGAAGCTGTGGCTGCCCCATCCCTGGCAGTGTTCAAGGCCAGGTTGGACACAGGGGCTTGGAGCAAGCTGCTCCAGTGGAAGGGGTCTGTCATGGTTTAAACCCAGTCAGGTAACTCGTTCACTCACTCCCCCCCCCCCCTTCTTGCCCTCCCCCTACTCCCGGAGGAACGGAGAGGAGAATCAAAAGAATGCAACTCCCACGGGTTGAGACAAGAGCAGCCCAGTAACTAAGGTATAACACAGATCACTGCTGCTGCCACCAATAATAACAATGATAAAGGAAATAACAAGGGAAGAGAATACAACACCTCACCACCAGCCCACTGATAACTCCACACCCTCAGCCCCCCCAGCCCAACCAAGCACTGACCCATACCTCCTCCAACCCTGCAGTCCCCCAGCCCTTCCAGCTAACTCCCAGTTACATCCTGGGCATGACGTGCTGTGGTATGGAATACCTCTTTGGTCAGTTTGGGTCAGGTGTCCTGTCTCTCCTTCCTCATGGCTTCCCCTCCTGCCTGGCAGAGCATGAGGCTCACAAAGTCCTTGGCCAAACCAAAACATCCTTGTTATCAGCTCTGTTCCCAGGCCGAAAGTCAAAACACTGCACTGCACCAGCTACCAAGGAGGAGAAACATGACTGCTACTGCTGAACCCAGGACAGTGTCCCTGCCCGTGGCAGGGGTCGGAGCTGGGTGAGCTCTGAGGTCCCTTCCAACACAAACCAGGCTGGGATTCTGTGATTCTGGGGTCTCCAGCCCTGCTCTCTATCCCTGCACCCTAAACCCCCTGGACCCTAAACCAATAACTTTTCTCTGCAAAACTTCACAGTGGGACCAGTCTGTACATCGCAGACATGACTGAACAGACACCCTTCACATAAACTTCGAGCAAGACTTTCTAAATCCCACATTTATGACAGAGGGAACTTGGTTCTTTTCTTGCATTTAAAACTCTAATCCACCAGTCACCCATTTATTCATCCCATTATCTCTCCCATGTAAGCCCCTGAGCAGTCGTGTAGCTCTTCAAACAGAAATTTAATCACACTGTTTTAATGCTTGAGCACAATGCTGGTGCCTGACTCGCCTGCGAGTGCTGTGTTGTTGCTTCCTTTAGCTGGTAATCAAGCAGCAATAGATGGTCTGTAGGAATGTCTGTCTACACTGGGCCAGAAGCCCTCTGTAATGCAGCAGCAGGATACACTTGGTGATGGCATCAGTCAGAGCAACAAGAGTGACAGTATAATGCTGGAGACCCAGCAAGCACTGGGTGTGCAACTGGGATTGCAGAAGAGAGATTAATTGGAATGTAGATGAGTTAGGGGAATCACAACCCTATTTAAAAGATGCTTATCATACACAACTGTGAAGTGCTGTCTACTCCACTAGTCCATGGTTACACAGTGGGATTCAGAGTAGTGCCACAGAGACACAACTCTGCCACCCTGGAGCATTTCCATCTGCTCTGGAACTGAAACCTCATTGAAGCACATGCTATGGAAACAGCATATTGTTACCCTCCATCAGAACCAGCGACGCTGCACAGCAAGCAGGAGCTCCATCCGTAGCCAGCAGAACAAACTCAGTGACAAGTGCACTCTGGTCCCAGTCTCCTTTCATTCAGCCCCTGGCAGAGCAAGGCTGTGTGGTGTCTGCAGTGTGCGATGGAAGATCCCCCCCAGTGCTCATCACTGCAGCCCTGACAGCCCATCCATGCTGCCCAGTGCAGGCAGCTCCAGCTCCAGCACATCCAGCTCTGGAGCCTGCCCCGGTGCTGCTGGGGTAAGGTGGGTTTAAGGCACTGGCAGCGATTTTCCCCCAGGTGCTTCCCCGGCCAGGGCTGCTCTGCCAAATGCCACCTACATTTACAGCAGCGGCTGCTCTTCCCTTCTGCTCTTCGGCCCTTCTGTCCTGCAGCCGTGCCCATCACATCCCCGGCACCACATTCAGGCGGCTCTTGAGATACACGACACACATCATTTTCTCTCCCAGAGTCCCAGTGGCTCTGCAAGTTAATTAAAACAGAACTTCAATGTTTTTTTGTAATAGATCATGATAAAGTTCCGTGACATCTGTTAAAATTTACAACCAAGGATGTCATTTTTGGGGAAAAACATGTTCTTTTACACCCAGCCCATTTATTTGTGTATTTACTTAGTGACAGAGCATGTCATTTATAAGAAACACGCAAAAGCAATCATTAATCATACTTTTGTCACAAAGCAGCTTCCCCAGCAGTTCACTGAAAACCCACAGACAAGCTGCTCAAATGTGGGTGTTGTGAGGACAGTCAATGAAACCTCGCCAATAAAGCTGTAGAGTCACCTCATCTCTTCAAAGCCTGGTGGAGATTGGGTAGAAGACATCAAAGAATTGGCAAATTAGCCATTGGCTACCTGGGAAGTACACGGCACTATGGACAGGAGGAAAAGTAAATCAAGGCAGTCGCTGCTGCCAGGACTTTTGTTGCATCAGAACCATTTCAGGATAAATTAAAGAGAGTTTCTACATCACTTACACAGCCCAGAGGCTGTATCATAGCAGCACCTTGACACATCCCTACTCGAGTGGTTAGCAAGTGATCTCAGCACAGACAGCCCCATTGACAATGCCTCAGACTCACAGACCGGTTTGTGTTGAAAGGACCTTAAAACTCACCCAGCTCCAACCCCTGCCACAGGCAGGGACACCTTCCACTAGAGCAGCTTGCTCCAAGCGCCGTCCAGCCTGGCCTTGAGCAGCCTCAAAACCATCTCTCCACATGACACATGCCTTGCCTATGGGTCCCCACTGAGACTCTGTGCTGCCTGCCCCTTCCTGATGCCCATGCTCCCTGGGGCATGTGAAGTGCATCCCCCTGCAACAAGAAACTCAAGCCAAACGTTGCTGCATAACGCTGTGAGGCAGGGGACGAAATCGCTCTGTGAACATCAGGCAGAGTCCCCGAGGTTGTGCAGATGGTGGCTTGGCAGCTACAATGGGCCACGGCCTCTTCTTCCTGGGATCCCCCGTTTTCCAGCAGCCACAGCAGCAGGGGAAAGGCACCAGCACAAACAGAAGGTTCACTCAAGCAGCACATCTGCTGAGGGCTGTTTGTCCTGTTCCTGCACACTGACTTGCACTCCACTACCAGAACAGTGGCAGAAAAGGTTTCAAGCTCTTGTACATAATTCCTTTCACAGAGAGATGTTCTGCCTCATTCTGTGCTGTAACCACAGCTTTTAAATGCTGCCATGATCAGTGAAAGTGGCAATGTGGATGCTCATTTCATTTCCAATTTGCCTTAATGACCATTTTGAGCCACAGGAAAGGACTCTGGGCACGGAACAGACTGTGCAAACAAGCTGTGAGCCATCGGTACAGGAGTTCATTTCAGAATGGCAAGATGCAGCGCTCCTCGCCCTGGGGAGATGGGCATTTTGAAGAGCAGCACCATCTTCTCCTGCTGGTGAAGACCCCTCAGCACTGCATCGCCCCCCAGGCACCTTTACATCCTTGTTGGCTTTGGCTATACTCTTCATGCTCTGGGATGATCCCTTTGCACCTCACCCTGTTCCTCACGGGACACTGCTCCTCCTGTGGCCACCTCCACAAGGTACACGGTCCTGCTTCTCCCTTGGGCTGGCAATGAAAGTGGTGCGGCGTTGCCACTCGGGGTGACACGGCTGGCATGAAAGTCATTATATGTGCCAGTGGTTAATGGTCTGATATCTTTCCTGAGTCCTTTTCCATGCTTTAATGACTCCAGTTGGTATCCAGCGTGAGCCCAGAAGGTGTGCAGCTCAGCTGATAAAACCCATCTCTTGAAAATCAATGAAAGATGAAAAGACCAGTGTCCATTACCAGGAGGGTTAGATGCAGCGCATCATCTTCACAGCAACTCAGCAGTACTAGTCTGTAACGTACCATCTTATACCTGCAGGTTGCTGCTTATCAAACATTAACAAACAACAACAGACAACTCTGTCTGCACTGTGCAGCAGCGAGCCAGAAATTGTCCTTTTCAGTCATGGATTTAAAGGTAAAAGAATACAACTAACCCAAAATCCTCCATTATTGTGATCTTTTCCTTACACGTTACCTCTGCGTTTTGGAGAACACAGATGCTGAAGCACAAAACCCATCTGGTTACAGAGCCTGCAGGGAGCTGGGTCTCCAGGAAGCAGAGCTGGGTGGCGAGTCCACAAGATCATTCTGCTGAAGTGTGTGCTCAACAGCAGAGATGGCTCCCAAAGGCCCTGGGATTCGGAGTGAACACCCCAGAGTGGGGGGCAGCACTGAATCACAGAACCCCAGCCTGGTTTGGGTTGGAAGGGAGCTCAAAACTCCTCCAGCTCCAACCCCTGCCACAGGCAGGGACCCCTTCCACTGGAGCAGCTTGCTCCAAGCCCCTGTGTCCAACCTGGCCTTGAGCACTGCCAGGGATGGGGCAGCCACAGCTTCTCTGGGCACCCTGTGCCAGCACCTCAGCACCCTCACAGGGAAGAGCTTCTGCCTAAGAGCTCATCTCAGTCTCCCCTCTGGCAGGTTAAAGCCATTCCCCTTGGCCTGGCCCTGCAGGCCCTTGTCCAAAGCCCCTCTCCAGGTTTCCTGCAGCCCCTTCAGGCACTGGAAGCTGCTATGAGCAAATCAAACCTACCCTGTGGATAGATGATTCCTTTATCACAGGCTATGGACCTGCGGGTAAGTGCAGAGGAAGAATCCAGAGCAGGTTCTAAAAAATCCCCATTATGAAATGTCCCTGTTGGCTTTCGTGGTAACCCCTGCAGCAGCGCTACCGAAGGAGCTGCTGTGAGAGGACAACAGCAGAGTCCCAAGCTCTGGTCAGGTGCTGGTGGGTGATTCAGACCTTAACCAAGGTGGAGGAGGAAGAGCTTAAGCCATCTTCCTGCCCTGGCCTAACCCTGCCTTCAGCCACCGAGTACAGACCACATAGTGTGAGGCTGTAATGGTCACCCCTTTTCATAAAGAGCTAAAACCTTCAGCTGTGTTACAAGTGAACCTCTGAGAAGCAGTAAAGATTCATGCTAGTGCTGTAAAAATGCCTGCACCTCCCTTTTTAAAAGGCTGTCTTCAACCTCTGACCCATGGATGTCTGAACTTTGGTGCTGTTTAATTACTTAGCAGTGAGAAAGCAGCAAAGGCCACCATAAAAAAAAGGGTTTAAAACTGAAAATAGGTTAAATCACTGCTATTCTGAAGTACAAAAATAGAGAGCACCAGATTGCCTACGCTACCTACACCACCTCCATGCATCACAGAGCTCAGATGGCCTCAGACTAGCCAGATCTCGTTAAAACACATTATAAAAGCATAATTCCACTTTAGCTATTTTTTGCCAGACTGGCTGGGATATTCACAGCCTCAAACACTCTCAGCCCATTGGAGATAAGGGACTTCTTGCATTATGACATGGGGTGATTTGATATGTAACTTTCCCTGACTATCTCTCCGCGCTCTGCACAATCCTGCAAATGCAAGATATGGCAAGCAGCACACAGCTACAGTGATGTTCTGGAGTCTCTCTGCACACCACTGTGAAGTGAATTGTGACGTCTTTTGATATAAAACCCTCTTGCAGGGCTCAAGCAGGCTCCTCAAGAAGAAGGACGGTGGGATTACATTAGTTCAGTGTGGCACAATATTCTGTCCTAGAAAATGCCATTTAGCAAACCTTGTATTGGCTTTATCTTATTAGAGAAGACAGAAATCCAATAACATTCACACATTTTCATAATCTGTTGTGAAGTGCATATACCTGTGTGATATCAGCATGGGTTAGAAACAAGTATCTCAACATCTGGAAGTGCGATGGAAATGAACACTGCTGAATGTGAATGAGGATTGTCGTCAGCCAGCAGCAATAACAGAGGTCTTCAGTCATCGTCATTGCAAACGTATCAATACCTTCTGTAAATGAGTGAGTATCCCAGCTCATGCCTGCATTAACCATTCACACAAGGACGACCAAACACCATCTCTTTTGTGTTATTCCTACAAAACTCACTCCCTCTCAACACTAGGTACGAAGGCCAGAGGTACAGCCATGGCCATTGCTCAAGCTGTCCCCCATCAGCAACCTGTTTCAGTCACATGCACACTGGGTTCTTCATGTAACACATAACTTAAAATATTCCTGGTGACCTTCAACAGATGCACGTGGCCAGAGCAAGGAATTAGGAATCCCAGCCTGGTTTGGGTTGAAGGGAACTTGAGGCTCCTCCAGCTCCAACCTCTGCCACGGGCAGGGACCCCTTCCACTAGAGCAGCTTGCTCCAAGCCCCTGTGTCCAACCTGGCCTTGAACACTGCCAGGGATGGGGCAGCCACAGCTTCTCTGGGCACCCTGTGCCAGCACCTCAGCACCCTCCCAGGGAAGAGCTTCTGCCTAACAAAGAAGTGAAGCTTCATCTTTTGAGCAGGCCTTTGTCAGATCCTCCCTAACCTGCAACGCTCAGAACCAGTGATGCTCACACGCGTTCTTAGAGCACCTCTTCAATGATCAAACATACTATTAGAAGAAGGACAATCTCCTAATGTAACTTGATGGGGCAAAGAGCCTCTCTTAGGTTGTGCTCTGAGAGTGCCAATGATCACAGTAGCTTCAGCAGCAGCACTCAGTGTAGGCTGGTTTCAGTTTGTTCCTAATACATTTATCCCAAAGCAGAATCCTGGTGAATTAAGGGCATTCACTCAGTCTTCCTGTAAAAACAGCCTTTATCACACCTACTGAAGATGGTGACGCGTCCCTATGTGGAGATGTGTCACTGAGAGGAGGTGCCTTGGTGAAAAGTCAGTCGCTAAATGCAGGTAGTGAACCACAGTGACCATGGTGCAAGGCTTGCCAGGACACCCTTACCTTCACCTTCCTCCTTCCACAGCGTGCTCCGGGGGCCAGGCAGCCACCACGCTTTGCCGAATCAAATCCCCACATCTGCAGCCCAGGGCAAAACGTCTGCGAACCAAAGGGCATCTGTAGCAGTAATTCTGAAGATGACAAGGCAAGCCGGAGTGCAAACCGGCTCTAATAGCTAAAGGGTTTCTGACTTCCGAAGACGTTCAACCGAACGTTTAAAAGGTTTAGTCTCATCTCAGGTCTAGAAAGCACCCTGGGGGCAGGCTTAAGTAACTGCGCCATTAGGCAGTGAGCTGCAAATTGCCTATTAAGTCTGACTGAAACTGTAAAATTGCTTTTCACAATGCAAATTAATGTAAATAAGAACAATTGGTTACACATATCATAGACTATCAAACCGAGGACAGATGATGCACACTGGTTTTTCCCCCTGAATTAGCATTGCTTTAAAGTTAAATTTAGTTTGTGTTTAAGAGGCCTGGATGTTCCTATGATAAATCCTACCAATGCATTACAAGCAGCATGCACATCAGGATGTATATTCTCTATTACATGAAATATAAACATCTTAGGAGAGTCAGTGATACTTGCTTTCAAGCCTAATGGAAACACCACACAGCAAGCCCTTTCCTCAGCAATGTATTCAGCCAGATCTTAACCTCGTTCAGAAGAGCAAGATTATACGATCCATACCTCTATGATTCTGAATCAGTTGCAAAGCCATTAGGGAGGAAGGAGAAAAGCTGTGCTTCTCAAAAGCACCCCAAGTGATCAAGGTCCCCTGTGGCTCCCGTTGGTACCCTGTGTGCAGCCCCTCACACCACCACCCAGCTCTGACTGGGCAGCCTAAACTTCACATGTGGTTCCCAAAGACTCAGCATGATGCCAATCAGTAAGGTCCCCTTCTGGGGCACCTCTTAGATGAAACACTCACCATACACAGGCACAACCAACTGAACTGCCTGGGCAGAACAAGGTCCATGCCAAGAGATGGACACTTTCAGTCCTGGAAGTCTCTTGCATTCCACAAATCCATCTCCGAGGGGAGTTCTGGCAGCAAGGGGCAGAGGCACCGCAGCACTCAGAGCAGAGCTTTCCTATCTTCCTATTCAGTGGTGGGGGGTGTTCTTATCGGAGATTTTCCTTATCATTATTAACACGTTATCTGAATTTTTACATTCCCATTAGCTACAGAAATAACTGTCAGCAGTTTATCAGGGACTCCTGCATAAATCAGAGATCCTGATGGCTCCCAGGAGGCTGCAGCTTACCTTGGTGAGGGGTGGAAAGAGGCAAATGGAGCAGGGGTAAGCTCAGCAGTTGGTACCAACCACCACATCCCCATGGGTGAGCAGCGAGGTGCCGCTGATGCTGCTCTGTGCAAGGATGAGCGGAACGGCTGGCAGCCCCTCTCCATTATCTGCTGCAGAGCACCCTGGGGTGCCGTAGCCGTGCCTTACCCCTTGGGAGAAGGGAGCAGTCACCTCATACAGGAACGCTGAGGCCATCCTTTAACAACCCACATCGAGACCTGGGGTCTCAGGATGAAAACAGCAAAGGTCCTGAGACCCATGAGGAAAACCAGCAGGGCTGGATACACATCCCACATCTTGCATGGCTACCGACAAGGGGGATGAATATCTGGGTGCTGCAACTGCTGTTAACTCCAACCCGTGTTCATCTCCTCTCTTCTTTGTCATGCTGCTGTGGTTTCTGCAGCATTTTCTTCTCTTTTCCTGTCATTTTAATTGCTGTTTTAAAGAACAGTGTTTGGAATGGAGTCTGGTACAAGGTGCAGGGGTCAGGTAAACACGATGTTTGCTTATCGTCCACACTAATAGATTTTAAGGGAAAAGATAATTAGCTGCAAGCTGAGAGTGTTTCCTGCAGGCTCAGAACCCGGGGGTGGCAGTCGGCTACCCCTGCCTCCTCCAGCAATGTACGGGAGATAGAGATTAATTAGGCAGAAAGAGCCTACACCAAATCTGAACACACTGGCCTGTATTTGGGGTTGGCTGTCTTGGTGTCCTCTGGGGTTTGCTCAGCTCTGGTTGCGTTTGGCTTTGCTGAATGCATTAGAATCTCTTTATATCACACTGCTCATTGCCTGGGACATTACACTGGAAGATGTAAATCCCGGATCAGCCCAGTCACCCTCCCTTTCCATAACATTATGGCTTTAAGTGATATGTTACACATAAAGGCTTAATTACATAAACTACAGCTCACAAGCACTCAGCAGGAAGACAAAATGACATGGACCAGGCTGCTGCCCACAGCTCCCTGCCTGGGACAGGCCCCTAGGGCCAGCTGGAAGCTTGGTGGTGATGAGCAGCAGGAGCCCTTACACAGGGGCACGGTGGCACCAGAGACATGAAGCCACCCTGTGGCCCCTCAGCAGCTTCCAAACACCCTCACATCTGCAGCCTGGCTCCACCTGGCCTCCAGTCACAGGACCACAGAATCCCAGCCTGGTTTGTGTTGAAGGGACCTCAAAGCTCCTCCAGCTCCAACCCCTGCCACAGGCAGGGACCCCTTCCACTGGAGCAGCTTGCTCCAAGCCCCTGTGTCCAACCTGGCCTTGAGCACTGCCAGGGATGGGGCAGCCACAGCTTCTCTGGGCACCCTGTGCCAGCGCCTCAGCACCCTCAGAGAAGACTTCCTCCTCCTGA